AAAAAAAAAAAAAAAATTGTAATAAAAGAGTACGACACAAGTGTTATTTTTCAGCAATTAATCAATTTATGTTATTTTCTGCCTTTACGTCCGTGTCAATAACTTCGAAGATGGCATCATTAGGAGCTGAATTCTTGGATTAATTTGTTTTATTATTTTCATTATTGGTCAAGATTTCCTTCGTTTCCTCCTGACTAAGTCGTAGACATCAGATATTTTCTGCTCAAATTTAATGTCATCCATGTCATCTTCACGCATTTCCGTCGTCTCTCTTTACCTCGATTCTCGCAGGCCTTTCGAAAATCATTACCAACTTTGTTCTTATTATATTATAATTACTTTCTACCGAGGTATGGCGTGTTAAGCTAGTGAAAAAAGGACAGACCGTCAACAAATCTAATACAAGTCCGTCATTAGTCCGGTGTGGGCGGATTGCCAGGAGACAAAATTTTATATTCAAGCATTGATCAGTTATGGCCTTTGGGCAGAGAGCTTGATACTCTGTCTGGTTCGAAATTCTCGTTTCGTTTCTCTATCAACAACCGAAGTATCACATGATACTATTATTTAGAGATTGATTTCGAGGCGAGGCCACTTTTTGCAGACGAAACCGCAAATATGAATCCGGCATCTCGGCCAAGGTAATTGAATTTACTGATGAATTTTTTTTGAAAACTAAAAAATTAAACAACGGATCCGGAAGAAAAACAGTGCTATTCTTTTTCCAGATTATACCAATTGATCTAAGTCAGTTTTCGCAAGGCATGACTTTTCTTTTCATGACAGATTTTAAAATCAAAGTCTACGTCGCATCAAAAGCTTGAGATTCGAGACGTAAGGAAACAACGAACATTCATCATTTGGTGCAGTACACTCGCCAAGCCTCCAAGCGTCCCATGCTCTTTGTCGGTCGTGCTCACTCAATGTCACAAATTTTTAGAGGATCTCTGAACGGCTGCTAGATGCAAAACTAAGAGTAACGAACGGCAGGTTTGACGACAATTTCTTGCCGGGTTGAAGGGTACAGCTGTTAACACACCGAATCAGCCAATCGGAGGTCAAGTTGACCTGGTCAGCGGCACCTAACCGCTGAACCGTACCGGCTGTAAACAGTTGTCAAACAGTTGTGCTTTTCTTCCGTGACAATGGTGGATGGTTCGAGAAAACTCATGCTGTAATTCGGCGAAGTGACGCTACTAGATTTACTCGAAGGCTTAGCCTTCCTGCAAGCTCACATGCTTGTCTGACTAGTGAGTTTTAGGCGGTCATGATATTACCTTGCCGTATCGACAGGGGTCCATTTGCTGTTTGGTTTGATTCCTCCAATGGCTAACAATGATGATTGCAAGGTTGTAGCATCGCTTCTTCCGTGCGGCACACAATTGTCCCCAGAATGGAAAGCGATCACGACAACAGATCAAAGGATCTATTTTGTCAAGTAAGTGATCGCATCAGATAAGAGTTTAGTTCAATATTTTCGTTCCATTTCGAAGCGGAGCTTGCGAAGTTCCACATCAACTTAGCGACGAGTGGAAGACCCATTTATTATAAGTTTGCATCATCGTTACGAATCCCGGTAATTCACATTTTGGCTTGTAATGAAATATTCTAATATGAAAACTTCGTTCGCAGAATCAATCGTAATACGTTTAAGGCCAAGTTGAAAATTTGCATGAGCGGTTAAAAAAGGAATCCCGTACGAGCAGGTTTCCTATTTTGAGTGGTTTCCGCGGGAAGTTAGTCAGATGAAGTGCACTTCGATTGTTTCGCTTGAGGTTCGATCCTCATGTCGCTCGTCAGAAATACATGTAGATGGGAAAAGTTTCAACACAGCTTTAACAGGAGCACCTGTATTTATTAACACAAACTCTCCACTACACCTGAATATTAAAATCGCTTACGTTGATTGTCGCTCAGTGTATTTACAATCTGCAGCTCTATTTTTAGTTTTATTCAATTTCCACAGTCGCCGCACACGATCAAGCCATTGGTTTCCACCTCCCGAATTCTGGGTCAGTAAACTTGGCCTTCCGTACGGCTGGGAAGCGGCTTTAGACCACCAAAGCAAGAAATACTACATAAAGTACGTATGTATAAATTTAAAAGGTGTTATAACGCACAAGCTGTAATTTGAACTGCCGATTCATGTTTTACATAGGGAAACGACAGGTGTATGTGTGCATATATAGTTGTGTAAACATTGTCGCGATCTATACAGGGAAACGTCATTTTAAAGCGAGACATATATATTGTTTTGCCGCGCGTTCGATAGTAGTATTAATAATATTAGCTTGGAGATTTAGGCAGACGAACACCGGTCGTTGCTGTTTACAAACTTATGACTACTCTGTGAGGTAAATTTACTCTTAGACTCGGAAGATGTTCACTCAAGCGAACTCTATTTGTTTTGTGTTCGATCCAGAATACAGAACATCGAATTACTGCAACTTGAAAACCGTGCGTGCGGTTAAATCAAATGTAATTATAAATGATGTGCCCGTACTGTATAATTGACATGTACACTGTATATTGAGTGGAGCAAAGCTTAGTCATGTATAACCCAGACTGTCTGGTGATCATGCGCAGCTAATCATGAAAGGCTGTTAGTAAAATAATCGCAATATTTGTTTAAGGATTGGTTTTATCACCAGCTTGTTAAGGTTGAATACATTTAGAACAATGAATGAATGGAGGCTTATTATTTTTTTTTATGGTTCCTTGCAAACCGCTTCAAGTCAAATACAAATCAGCAAGCTTTCCTTACAAAATGTTTTTTTTTTTTAAAGCTTTAAATTCCTTACTAGCTTTTCTTATATTTACTGGTATTTCCTTGTTTTCTTTTTATATTACTTGGGAACTGTCCTGATAGGATATTGCAAGTGAAGAATGTAGATGTAGATGTGATAAGTCTTCTCTCGCTGTATTCTTCAGATGAGCGATATTTTACGTATTTCGGGGTGTTTTGAGCAATAATATTTTTAACATTATCCACAGTATATGTACATGTAGATGCCTATATAATTTTTTCTCCTTGCTCAAACTGCCCTATATTGTCCTATCAATTCAGGATATTCTAATCCTGGATTCTTAATCTAGGATTATCAATATACAAGCATGCTTAATTAACAGATCACAAAAAAAATTGTATTTCTGGCGTGTTTTATGCATTCAAGTGATCTCCCACTAGTGGGAGATGTGTTGACCTACATGTAATGGTTTAAGTGTGCTGGACTCTAGATTGAACAGTCTGGGTTGGAGTCCTGACCTTGGTCTTTGTGTTGTCTTTTTTGTGAAGAGTCTTTACTCTCAGACAGTGCTTCTCTTCTAAACACAGACCAGAGTGAAAATGCAGGCACAATATGATGCTTCACTGAAAGATCTGCTGAATATAGTATGTTCTATGGTATTTTTTTTTTTTTTAGTTTTGTCGGTGACCAGACCCAAACTCACTCTCGGCCAAGTTTTAAATCACGCAACCTGTGATGTTTATTCATCAAAAGCTGTTCAAAAATTAATACATGGACAATGTTATGAATACTGTTTCCTTTATTGTGTGTAAAATATATTTTCTTTTGGTTTTATTTAAGCGTAGGATTCCAAGGAAATAATAAATACGCTAAAAAAGGTATTACATCAGCCATGGAATG